ACGGACATAATTACTTACAAGTAGATATATTATGAAATACGGGTATGCCAAGATATTTAATTCTTTGTGAAATATGAATCTTTATTTTGTAAATGTTTGAGGCTGGTTCTCCACCTCATCGTCAGACTATGGGATATGTTCAGGAGCAATTAACTTAATCGTGTCTCGCAAGGTATACTGCAATTAGCTGAAGTCCGCGCCAATAGGCATTGCTTAAATTTCGTCATCCTGCCGTAGTTAGCCGCCCGCGTTGCACCTGGGCCTTAAAATAAATATAGCTCGCGTCTAAATCGATATTTATGTCGATGCATGCGTTATCAGAGTGCACTGCCTCCAGGATTTCACGGCCTTTTCGAGTTGAGCAAGTGCCGACAATCCGTGTGTTCGCCCAGACGAAGTTGTGACCGGTTACTAGTGTGTATGTATGGCCACCTGGGATAAGTGGTCTCGCCTTCTGACCACCAATCGTGTATGTGCGGTGAGACGCATTTCCCAGTTTGGCCATAATAAACTGGATCACAGCTGGCACGCGGGATCTTGTAGACGATTCCTTTTCTTTCAAGATAGTCTACCCTGTCCTTAGGGTGTACTAACTGTAGGCGTAATGTGCTTGTGGGCTGACTGGCGTTCCATTTGTATATGACATTTTCTTAGTTGTCCTTCGACAAGTTCAGACACATTTTACATGTTTGGGAGAGTTCGTCGGATCATTGTTTTGGAAGCCTGTGTGATATTATCATTTGAAATGCCTGCCGTTTTATGCACTGACGCAATCAGTTTCTTGGTTATCAATTCTTGGAAACTAGTTGAAAGACGTATTTTATTTCTGCTTGGCTCACATTCTTCATCAGAGCATTGGGTTTTGGCTCGATTTAGGAGACTGTTGGCTGAACTCCTTTTTTAAAGAGATTGACTGGTTCCTCTCAGAATGTAGCATGACCTCTTAATGTTTTTTTACGATAAACTAATATACGGACTAATATATTAGTATTACGATGGACAACGGCATCGATAAATGGCAGTTGTACACCAACCTCCGTTTTGTATGTGAAATGAATTGCTGTAAATGTAGAATTGTGCACCTTTTGGACGAGGTGTAAGTGATGCTTCTTGATGATGACAAGCCACCCACAATTATGGCTAAGATGGCACCTATGTTCGTGCATTTCCGTTATGTCATCTGTATTACAAGAAACATTGAAGGATTTTGAAGGGCGAGCAAAAAAGCAGACTGACTTAGCTCAACTGAGGTCACCTTCATTTTTTGGAAACAAGCACACCTTTTACCATTCCGCCCACTTTGTCGCTTAATGTACACTCAATTTCCGACTGCTCTTCGCACTGAACGGAGTCTAAACTGGCCCCACTGGATGTTTCCATGTTTTATCCCGTAGGAAGTGCGCCAAGTCTCAAATAGATAAGTTAAATTTAACGGGAATCGGCACGGCTTTATTTCGCGCATTTTTGTGGTCGTCCGCGTCCTTGCGAAATCCACATTGTCGAACTGCACTCCCACGCCGTGGCTAAAGCATTATCCCATAAGCCAGTTTTTTAGAAGCCTTATCGCAGTGGCTTAGGGTAGAAAGCGAACAACCATCGCCGCTGCAAACTTCAGACACGCTGATGTAAGGGAAGCAAAGGGACGTCAGGTGAACGGAATGGAAGAGTCTGTAGGGAGGTAGTGAATACTAGGTTGGAGGATGTTGACGGTCGGACGAGCGTGCGTACGCAACCATTAGGGGTGGCATCCGGAGTCTGAGGATGCAGAAATCCTCACACGGTGAGGTTCTAGGTGCAGGCCCTGGTCAGTCCCCTCAGCGTCACTAATAGCTCATTGGTGGCCATTTAACGGCAGATAGGCATCAGCAG